TTTACATCAATAAAAATTCTATTCTGCATACCAATCTGTTCTTCCTATCAGTTGGTAGTGGGGTAAGGCGTCGGCTAGGCAATAAAGTGTTTGATCATAGAGTGTTTTGATCATAGAGTGTTTTGATCATGAAGTGTTTGATCATAGAGTGTTGTAAGGCGTCGCCAAGGCGATAAGGCGCTGTCCCTTGGACGCCTAATCTGCTCGCCTCGCTTAGAAAACCTTGAGGCATTCAGGCATCGCCTTACTCTCGCCTTGACGGCTTGGGCCTCTAAAATTTTGAAAAGCCCAATTTTTTAGTGCATCCCAATTATTTTGAAAGCCTAATTTAAAATGTTTAAAAAGATTTGACTTAAACTTGTGACCTACGATATATATGTGTGTGTATGTATACCTAGATATATAAATATACCCATTAATTTATAAATGTATACCTAGATATATAAATAATATACCTATATACATGCATATATATATGTGTGTGTGTGTGTATATATATATATATATAGAGAGGTCACCTAGGCGTTGCCTAGGCGATATGAAGATACATTGGCGCCTTACAAACTATGGTGGGTTTTAATGGAAACGAGTAAAATTTGATGCACTTTCCAAGCTTGCCTCATGTTGGGTGTTTGGTTTAGAGGTTGAGTTTTGGTGGAGCAGATTAAATAGTTCGAATGAAAAACTCCTAAATGGAGTTTTTGGAGAAGCTGTTGTAAGCAAGGGTATTTCATCAACATCTCTAAGTGCAATAGAGTTGAACCAAACAAACCCTTACTATCAAATCATTCTACCAAGTTAACAAAGAGAGGGGGTGTATTTTGAAAAGAATAATATTTCTTCCGTCCCAATGTGATTGTCCACATGCTTTTTGGCACATGAACCAAGATGGGAACAAAGTGAAATGATAGCAAAATGCCCTTACTTTATGGTGGAGCATTTATCAAATGGTATTGGAATGTGGGCAAAAGAGCAATGTGAAAATTATTATTTTGCACAAATAGGGATGGAAAAATATACTAGGAGAGTCCAAAAAGAAAAAGTGAAATGGAGGGAGTAATCAGAATACTATTTTGGAATTGACTAAAAAACATAGTAGGGAAAATAAAATGAGAAGTGGGGGGAGGGGGGCAAAAAAATAGTAGTAAAAATTTAATTCCAAAACTAGGTTACAAAAAAAAAACATTAGTAGAAGTATGATTTAAAAAATAGGTTCAGTTAAATACTCTGAGATAGATCAGCTGTAAATAGAGTTTTATACAACACCTTGGTGAACATGTAACAAGTAACAACCATATAATATTAGAGTACCTCTTGTCCCATATTGGTTCCATCACGTAAACATGTGACACAAAGCTTAAATCAAGGCCTAAAGCTGCACTTCCGTCCATCAAAAGAGCCGAACAATTTGGATCATGCTGAAATGTAGCTAATGACTTAATCTGAATCATTCAAAAAGTAATTTCCCACCAATTAAACCAACAGACTACTCAGATAAATATCATAAATTCATGATGCAACAATGGATGCTAAATACCTTGTTGGCAGAATGCATTGGACTATACATTCTTGCAAACTGAATTTCAGCAATAGTCAACTGGTAAAAGAAAAATGTGAAGTCAACAAATGATCACTTGATGAAGTAAAATGATCATAATAACATACTTAGAACTATAATGCAATTATGCAAAGAGCTACCTGTTGTTCAATCACATGTATATGCTCAAGAAACTGAGAAAATATAATGGCTTTCTCTGGAAGAAACTTTATGGAATCACTACGTGCCCCATGTAAAGTTATTCCTGTCTCGTTTTGCAAAAATGGGGGATGAAGTACATTAACACTATTGACACCTTCAACGTCAATAGTTTGCTTAAGCAGCCTGTTAGCTTCTTGAATTTCCTTTAATTTATGTACAAGATAAGTTACTTTGGTACTAGAGGTAGACTGCCAATCCGGATTCCAGTTATCCTGCAAAAGAACCATAACAGGGACATGACGTATTTGGCCATATAAGGCACGACTATATGAGAAAATAAAGTTAATTAATTAATTAATGAAGAAAATAGTGGGAAAAGGGGGGAAAGGTTAGAACCACTTGCTGTTCAATTTATCCAACCTGCTTATAAGAAGGCTGTAGCTCAATAAGGTCCTTTGGGACAGGCCACTTCGGATTAGGATTTTCTAGACGGGTTAGTATTTCAGGACTCTGCATCTCGTATAGATTACCACATCCTGGAAATGCGCATTTTTCACTATCCAGAGATACACAGTCCAAGCATAAAAGGTGTCTGCAAGGTGTAATGATAGGTAAACGGCACCATACGTCGCACCTACGTTTAAATAAAGTTAACAAATTATATGTGGACATGGAAAAATATCAAATTGATTACACGAAACATATTGAATAATCATAATGCAAAATATCACCTCATACAGTTACCACCAAATTGAAGGTTAGATCTTATTAAAGTGTATTCCTGTGAAACAGGGTCCAGACCATTCTTGACTAAAATATCCATAGTTTCCTGAATATCTTGACTGGCATCTGTTACTCTAATATGTCCCGCAACACAACAAGAAAGTCTTACATTTCTGATGGTAGCACTGCAGAATTTCCATTGCTTTGGATTCAGTAAACTCTCAACATGAGATGGATCATTCCAGTCTGCCATTAATATATTACGCCGTACTGTCTCTACCAGCTCATTATAACTTTTTGCATGACCTTTACTGAAATCCAGAAACGTCACTTTCTTTATACAAGGCGGAATATCTACCAAGTCTTTCTTTCTCGCACTAATCATACATCTGTGCAGTAATTGCAACAAGCGTGTTCGGCCCTCCTCCATCTCTGCCTCAAATGGCATAAGAATGCCAGTTTCCCATGATTTCTGATTCTGTCCATAAGCTTCATCTTGAAGAAACTTAAGCATTGGCTGCAGATGAGAAAGCTGGCTGTTAGGAGTGTTAGGAGTGGGTGTACCTGTTAATATCCAACGATTTGTAGCCCTCAGAGAAACTGCCATTTGCAGTTTATTTGTCAAACTCAAACTTGACCCAAGTGTATGACCTTCGTCTAAAACTATCCGTAGCCAATGAACTTGCATCAAAGCACTTTTCTTTTGGGGACTCCATTCCGCACTTAGACGATTGAAGGTAGTTATAACAACATCATAATCCCAAGCAAGATTGTGTACAGAAGGTCTTTTGTGATCAGTCCATGCAAAAACACTCAACTGACCAGGTCTAACATGCTTTTCAATCTGAGTTCTCCAATGGTCAACTAGATTTGAAGGAACGACAACCAAAGTTGCTCGTGATAGATATAGTCTAAATGAATTTAAAGGCCTACACAGGGCAATTCTGAGTGCCTCTAAATCAAATACCAAGTTGACAAGAGCTCTTGGGTAAAACCACCTAGTTTTTCCCTTTTCTACTCTCTTGATGAGGCCAAAGGCACGAAATATTCTGGTAAATGGATGAGGAACTCCAGTATCTATGACAGAATGAACCAAACCAGTTGTTTCCATTTCTGAAAGCTTCTCAGCTGACAGTTTAGCCAGCCAAGTAAGTTGCTTCTTAGTTTCTAAATCGATAATTGTATAATTATCTTTTAGAACATTGATGAAAAAGGATATATTTTCATCCGTACATCCAGGAGTTCCCTTCGTATAGAATCCCGGAAGGTATGTTACAGGCTTCTTAGAATCCCAAGATTCTTCAGGAGCACTACAACTTTGGAATAAAGGGTCTGCATTCATACTGCAAAACCATGCTCTACTTGTATCAATTGCACTCGCATCATCGAGCCTTCGCCACCTGCGACAAGCGTCGCATTGAACCCAAGTTTCATCGTGTTCAAGATTATTTGCATTGAACTTCTTAAGCTTCTTGCCACTGGAGAAAAAGTCATGTGATTGACCATGCTTTTTGCGACCATTCGCACCAAGCTTTCTCTTTCTATTGTGCTTACTGGGGTTTTCCTCTTCCTGGTAATCAGATAATTTTGGATAAGCTTTCAAAAGATTTCTGTTCACTTGGCTCCAGCTCCTGGTACATCTAGTAGCACATGTTGACGGTGTGGAAACTGTATCTGCAGGGGAGTTGATTTCTGATCCTATTACACACTTAGCTGAATCGGGAGATGTAGATCTTAAAAGTAGGGTGCTTTGCAGGCTTCCTTTTGGCATTACTTTATCTGGAGAGAATAATCCTCTCTTGGCTTTCTGCCCCATACACCTGTTAGCTGGCACCAGTCCCGTGTCACTTTCGCTCTTCAACTCATAATAACCACACCTTTGATTTGCATTATGTGTGCACCAGATCACTTGTGCGCCATCAGGTGGCTCAGCCAGTGTTCCTTGTGTCTTTAGAATGAGAGAAAGAATAGTAATAGTTTTACCAAGTCCAGGCTCATCACAAAACATTCCTCCCTGAAAATCATTTACTATAGGAGCAGCTTCAGTTACAACTTCACCAGATATGGCATTTAGATAGAACACAAATCCGTCTTCAGTAACAAAATCCATATACAGTGGGTGCTGCAAGGGCCCAGCATCCCTTTCACGCCGTAACATCCACTCAACTGCAGCATGTTGGTGAGGAAACAGCTTAAGTTTCATGCAAGGCATGATCCCTTTTGCCAAAGATCTTATATGGTGACATGTCGCAGATACCCGAACAAGGTCAATGGGGTTGAGAAAAGAAAGAATAATGAGCAATATATCATCAGATACCAGCCAAATACCAGTTCTGCTTGGATTGGAAGCATTTATTCTCGAGTAAGCAGAATCCCCCTTTTTTACTATGCTAGGCAAGCTCTTAAAAATTTCATGCAGCTCAAACAGCTTTTTCTTGGATGGGTCAGGAGCACTGCAGTGGTGTTTGCATCCAAGAGCATCACAGTCAAAAAGATTCCAAATGCTATTATCTTCTTCACAATTGATAAACTTGAGTATCAAACTTCTAGCTTTCCAATCACAGCTGCAATGAGAACGTTGAAAATATGATTAAAATTTCAAGTAGATAAGAAAATGATGAAAACCCAGATGATGAAAGGAAAGAAAAACAATTATCTGTCATTTCCACTCCAATCAGTCTAACATTTAAAAATATAAGACAAAATGCAGTATAAAATAAGTCCCGTGAACAACAATGTTTGCGAATTCAGTTGAAAAGTGTTTGGTCCATTTGAGTGAATAGATGTAGCTGAAACTATGATCCCAGAAAGAACGTAGCTTTAACTATAAAAAACAATAGATTGAAGGTATGTATATAGAGATCAGAAATAGAGGAGCTGAACAGAGAAAGGTAATCAAAATTCCAAACCTGGCATGGCGGAATAGGGCAGCAGCAGCAGAGGCGGACTTAGGGAATCGCCAACCTGACCATAAGGCTACAGGCAAGTAGACATCAACAAGCAGAACAGCCCTAACCTCCCCATTCTGAGCCACAACCCGGACCACCGTGGCAATAATCCTCAAACACTTGCTGGCTACAAGTGCATGGAGCTGATGGACGACGCTCAAGCTCCCGTGAATCATCCCAATTCTGCTCCACTTGTTAATCTTCTTTGAAGTGGATGACTCGTATACAGAAACCCACACACTGTTCTTCCTCTTCTTCTTCTTCGGAATCTTCTTAGTCTTCCCACACTTTTTCTTGGAGGCCGAGGGCGCACCAGACCCAATGTGCATGGGATCATCGTCTCCACCACAACCCCTGTTCGAATTACTGATAGGGTACAAAAGAACGCCGTTTTCTGCAACAAAATGCGCGTCATAGGGACTATCGCCTGCAATGCGGCAACGCGAGCCGAGAGGGAGGACATCCGCGATGTCCGCATTAGGGTTAATTTCAATCCTAAGAACTGCGCGCACGAACCCGCATAGCTTGTAGTCTTCAGGGATTATTGAATCACCCGCGCCAGCAATAGGGTTTTCCATTACCGAATCAGAACGGATCAAATCGACGGCTAGTCCTCGTCTGAGACGTTATGCAAAGAGGGAATTCGATCCATCGGGAGCGAAAACCCCGGGCAGTGATGCGAAATACAAGCACAGCACTGAAAACAAGAGCAGTGATAGCTGAAGGTTTCCCCCTTCAATTCCCCTCAGCGTAAGGCATAACAAAAGAGAGTTCTTTCATGGGAATTTCATGAAATTTACGAGGAGCTCCAATGGAGGTGAAGATCAGAGGCAGGGATCGTGGGAACAAAGACGGAAGAGAGTTGGTTTTCGGCTTTTCGCCTTTTCGTTACGTTAGGTTGAAGTTTAAGGCTACTTTATTGCTCCGTCTAAAAAGTGTCAAATTTTAAAATTTGTTATAGCTAGCTAGCAATTAGACTATACTATTTCCTATCTTCCCATCAAAAATAACACCAAGGTTCTCATGACATTGATTTACATTGGCAATCAATGTTATGACATGACCCGAGATCCCTACGATGCCCCGTTCGAAAAATTGATTGTTACTATCCCTCTAACCTCTCGGTAAACCCCCCAACTCGGCCCGACCCGAACCAACCCCTCCCCCCCGTCAATTGCACCCCACAAGATGTAGTTGACTTTGGAGTCAAAATTTGACTCTAAAAGTCAACTACATCTTGTAAGGTGCAATTGACGAGGGAGGAGGGGTTGGTTCGGGTCGGGCCGAGTTGGGGGAGATTACCGAGGGGGTTGGAGCGGGTAGGAACAATCAATTTTTCGAACGGAGCACCGTAGGGACCTCAAACGGAGCTCATGTCATGGGATAATATTAGGGGTTAATGTCACTAGAACCTTGCCCCAAAAATAATGTTACAATTCATTATTCAAGAATTACAAAATTTTTGTTTGTTTATATATATAATTTGATTATTTGATAAAAATAAAATATTTTTATTATTTTTTGTTTTGAAAAAGCTTTTAACGTAGTTTTTCGAATATGTATATTTATTTTTTTATTTTTATTCTCGTTGTTAAATAAAATAAATTAAAAATATTAAAATTTTCTTTCATTTTGTGTAATGTGTCAAATATTTTGGAACATAAAGAGTAGTGTCGGTTTTATTTTGAACTAGTCTTTATCCCCGTTTTCGTACGAGCTCATATAAATTCTAAAAGTTTTTAATATTCTAATTGCATTAAATTTCGAGTAAAACATATTTTTATTTAATTTGATTTTTTAACAACTATAAAGTGTGTGTGGTATATAAATATTAATATTCTAGTCTGTGTCATTAATGACTCATGAGTTGAATAAAAAATTAGTTCTAGGAAAAATATGATTTTTATTTCATGCATTAATATGATTTCCTCTACCCATGTACTGGGAGAATGTAAATTAAGCTTTAATCGCAGATTGGTAGCAAAGAGTGGAGCATGCACCTGCTACTTGCAGAGGCTCTATGCTTAGCATAATTATCTCCCAGCATCGTTTCCAGAAATTGAACTCGGGGCTTATCTTCTTAGCACCCCTTGTCTTGCCAACTACATAACGTCCACCGGCATGGATTTTTATACTAAGGGTTTTATAGGTTATTGATATTCCTTCGTTCATAATGAGCTACTTGAGAGTAGAGATAAACAGGACAAGAAATTGCAAATTCATGAATCCTAGAATTTGGCTATTCACTTCAAATTCACAGTTAATTAAATTCACACGAGAATAATCATAGATTTTTTACCAATCCTTACAAATCACTAATCCAAATGCAGGAGAATAATTATAGATTTTTATGCTCCAATCCCTAAAAAATTTTGATAATTTATTTAAAAAATGGCTGAGTGTCCAACATGTTTCTTATTAATACTCCCTCTGTGCTAAAACGTTTTTTCCAGTTGCTATTCATATGGTCAAATTTTAATCACTTTCTTTACCTATTTTTGTTAGCTATTTGATAAAATAATATAGTTTTGTCACCTTTTGTTTTTATAGTAGAATTTTTTATGTAGTTTTTAAATATATAAATTTTATTTTTTTAATTTTACACCTACTGATAGTGTAAATTATCGACCACTATATCATTTTTAGCCGGGCAAAAACAATAAACGAGTCTAAAAAATACACCAAAATATAAAAAACAAGGATTTTGACGTGGAAACCCAAATCATGAGAAAACCACAGGCCTTTTTGGCGGTACCTTACCAACGGGGGATTTTTATTAATATCGAGGGTTGTACAGAGTGCATGTTTTGGGCTTGGAAGCCATTAATGGAAGCTTGAAGCTTCTTGGAAGAAATAAAATACATAAAATCTAGAGAGGAAGAGTAATGAGCAGGAGTAATGGAGATGAATGGCCTCCCATTTGATGAAGGAGAGCCCTCTTTTTTATAGGAGTAGCACGAACATCTACAGGGGAATATTCTCTTATTCATCTATTTTATTAAACAGACCCGGTTTGATTCTTCTTCGTAAATCATTGGGAAATGTGGACCGAGCCACATATTATTTCCCATCAAGAATCCCTCCACTTTTTTAAGTTGTTAGAATCATCAACTTAAGAAAAATAAACAAGTCCTCCGAGTGCTATCTTCAATCTTCGTACTTTGCATTCTTGACCGATTGATATTGCGAGTCCTCCGAGTCTTCATTAATTCTTTGATTTCTTGAATGAGATGTTTTCCTGTAAAAAATAATATGTACAACATTTTTTTTGACAAGTCTATATCGTGCTCAAATAATTATTATCTTTACTGAGGAGCTCGGTGTTAGGGTGATTAAAATACGCGTGGATAACTATCATAATGAGAGCAATGTTAGTTCGATGAAGCAACGGTAATAGTTTTTTAATTTTGATGAGACCGGAGTTAGTACAATGAAGTTACAGTGCCTCAATTAGTTATTTTGTCGAGACCAATATTAGTATATATGAATCATGTAAACGATGTATATCAAAATTAGTATATCGAAGTGAACGATGTCACTTAATACAAATTAAGTATGCTACATCAGCTTTGTCAAAGATCGATGTTAGCATGACTACCTGATGCGAGTATTGTCATGCCATGGAGGGACCGTCTTCAGAGTGCCTCATAAAAAGGCTTGACAAATCGGGCGTCCCCGATATAAGCTTGGCTGAGACACCAGTGTACCTAATTCGATTGGGTTTAGACTTACGAGAAGATATGTGCAAGAACGGTGTGTATATGGAGTTGAACAAGAATGATTTTTACTAGCGTACCAGGCTGGGCTTGTGTCAAATATTTTGTTTTTTATAACACTGAGAAAGACCGGTGTAGTACCAGCGTGCCAGGCCGGGTCTGTGTCTCAGTCTTTCGCTTTTTTATATACTAAGCAATACCGATGTCGTAATCAGCGTACCAAGCTCAGTTTGTGTCTCGGTCTTCCTTTAAGAGTTTCCAATGATCAATGTGCATAGATATGACCTACTACACAATCACTTTTCCCTACCATGCTCATGGTAAGTCCTCCCATTTAAAAGAAAATACGGAATAAGGTGCATGTGCATTTTCAAGCATCTTTCTTTGTAATTTTGCACGTGCCTTGTAACGCCCTGCAACCCGGTCTAATAGAATTGATTAATTTAATTAATTAATTACTGTTCCGGACCGGGGTTGGGGAAAATGAAAAGTTCTTAGAAAAATTATTTGATCATATCATTAAATCCATTTTGACTGTCTGATTCTAGAAACGCAAACAGATTTCAATTCGGGGCCGTTCGGGGGGGAAAGCGCGTACCGTTCAGGTCAGATTTTACATTACGGAGTAAGAATAAATTTGTAACCCCCCATGATTCACACGCCACTCACACATTCATGCTCCATTAAGTTTCACTTTATTCTCCTCATTATTATTTCAATTTAAATCCCAACTCATTCCCTTTCTCCATCCTATCTTTGTAACCCCCATCCCTTACACTCTCAACCCACTCTCTCTTCCTTCTCCTTTGTTTCGGCCACACAGCAGCAGCACCAAGGGGAATTCCGGCGGTAGACGCGGAGGAGGGAGAGAAGGAAGTGCACGTGTGAAGTAGGCCGTTTGTTTGTTCGTTGGTTTGTGAATAGCCGTTCGTTCGTCTCGTTCTATCGGACTATCAACCCCTTCATTTAGAGGTGAGTAGTTGTCCCCTCTAATTCTAGAACATTTAGTTATAATCCTTGTCGTTATACTCGTAGTAGTATCGTACGCAACCTACGTAGAACCCATGCATGTACGTAGGATAAACATCAAAATGTTCATAACGCAAACCCATAAATTCTAGCCTAGGAATCACTAGGAATATATTCATGAATGTTATGCTTTTGCTCTAAAAAGAATCTAGGTGTTAAATTAGCAAAACGGACCAAAACGGAGTAAAGGATGGCAGACTGCCTCCGGGACGGTCGACTGCCGCTATGGACGGTGGACCGTTCCCAAGGCCAAACCGACGGTCACCACCGTGACGGTCGACCGCCGGCCACGACGGAAGACCACGGTGGACCGTCGGCCATCCAGTTCCCCCAACGCAGCCACGGTCGACCGCCGTTAGGGTACGGTCGACCGTCCTTCGGGCAGTTTCCCGGGCAGTTTGTAAAACGAGCCCGTTGACCCAGAATCTGAACGTTCTTGCATGAAAAGCAAATCTTTATTTTTAAATGTTGTATAATTAATATATTCTTGGCATTTACCCAAGGTAAAAATATCAAGCATCCATCATGTTCATTCTAGACGCATGTCTTAGGTTTCACCATGTGCATACCGCTGTAGGGAGGACTTCGTGCGCCTACTACAGTGGGCCCGTCCAGGAACCCTCGGGGTCCAACGGGTTTTCATCATGTTGGGCTTGTGTACGTACATAGTAGTCAGGCTACGGCTACTACCCGGTTTTGCTAGTCCACTCGCGACATTTTCGTCGTGCCCGGCTCGTTACCGTTCGGGAACGATGACCGGAGTGCAGGGGTAATCCTGTCGAGTGAGCCGGGTCCACGGAAGGCGGGTGTTACAATTTGGTATCAGAGACGTTCGGTTTTGTAAAAAATAATAATTTTTGTCAATTTGGGTCAAAAGGGTTTTTTTCAAAAGTCCACAGCCGCATCTCCCATCACATCACTCCAGGGAAAGGTACACCGTTATTTTAATCACATGTATGTCATATTGTAGTTAGTCCTGATTTAAATCATTCCTTTAGAAAATGAGCCAAGCAGCTGGCAACGACGGACAAGCTGTCCCAGAGGGTGAGCCTGAGCACGTGAGCGTGCACACTGAAGCGTCAAGCTTCACACCCCAGCAGGCCTCTGAGCAGGGGGTTCCAGGCGCGGACCCGATTCCTGAAGCTGTCCCTATCATTCAGCCGCAACTCGCGGCTAACTTCATGAACTTTCTCCAGCAGATGGCTGGAGCATACGTGCCACCACCGCCACCACCGCCGCCACCAGNATCGCCGACCCTATGATTGCCAAACGGTGGTTCGAGCGAACCATTCGAGTGCTGGGAAACCTGAGGGTTCCATAGGATCAGCGTGGCGACCTCGCAGTTGCCTTACTTCAGGATTCCGCCTACGACTGGTGGAAGCGTGTAGGAGCGGACGTTCCGGAGCCCGTGCAGTGGGCCACTTTTGACCGACTCTTTCATGAGGAGTACATCCCGGAGCACTTTGTCGAGGCAAAGCGAGAGGAGTTTTTGAAGTTCACCCAGGGTGAACTCACGCTGCCTGAGTATCGTCAGAAGTTCGACGAGCTCGCGGGGTTTGGGCAAGACCTCGTACCGACGGTGGAAAAACGGTGCCAACGTTTCGTGGAGGGCTTACGTCCTGACCTTTCAACTCATCTGATTATTGCTCCACGGAGTGACATCAATAAGTTGTACAAGAATGCGTTGGACCTGAATGCGGCTCTCATCAGGAAGGCTGAAATCGAGCAGGCGCAGGGGGTATCAGCAGCGCCATCCCGTCCTCCTCCACCTCAGAAGGCGGGGACCAGCAGCAAGAGGTCCTTTGCAGCACCGAGCAGCTCTCACCAGAGCAAGAAGGTGAAGTCAGCCCCAGCTCAATCGTCCGCGTCCGTGCAAAAGAAGGGCAAGAGCGGAGATGGGTTCCGCAACCCGATTTGCGACCATTGTGGGCGCAGGCACCCAGGGGAGTGTTGGTACACTTTGGGATTGTGCCTTGGGTGTGGCCAAGCCGGGCATTTCCGGAAGGATTGTCCGAAGAATCCAGGAGAAGCATTCTCGACCGCACCGGCCGCTTCAGCCCCAGCAGCACAGCCCGCCCAGAGCCATAAGTCAGCGGCAGCATCCAGTCAGCCCAGGCGGCAAGCATTAGGCGCTCAAGGGGGGAAGGCCCCAGCCCGCACTTACGCGATGCGAGGGCGTACCGAGCAGCCAGCCCATGACGTCATCATGGGTATGTTTACCTTATTCGATACATCTATTACAGCTTTGATTGATCCGGGTTCCACTCTATCATATGTCTGTATGCCTATGCCTGTTATGCCTAACCTTCCGAGGGAAAATTTAGACAATCCGGTAATAGTGTCCAACCCATTGGGACACAGTCTACGACTCACCCATGTGTATCACGATTGCCCATTAGTGGTCCAGGGAAAGATTTTCCCTGCGAGTCTCATTGAGCTTCCACATCGTGAGTTTGACGTTATTCTAGGCATGGATTGGCTCACCGCCAACCAAGCCGTTGTTAACTGTGGAGCTCATACTGTTCGACTGAGAGTTGAAGACGGTAGTGACGTACTGATCCATGGTGAGCTTCTTCCGAAAGCTCCAGAATTCATTTCCTACATTCATGCTCGTCGACTCATTCGCAAGAAGTGTGAAGCATTCTTGTGCACAGTGCGTGACACTCGTCAGGAAGCGCCTAGTAGGGGGGACATCCCTACGGTATGTGACTTTCCTGATGTGTTTCCAGATGACTTACCGGGTCTACCGCCCCCTAGGGAGGTAGAGTTTTCCATAGATCTTGTTCCAGGAACAGGACCGATCTCGATCACACCTTATCGCATGGCGCCTGCAGAGATGAAGGAGCTGAAGGCTCAACTGTAGGAGTTGCTGGATAAGGGTTTCATCCGACCCAGTGTGTCTCCTTGGGAGCACCGGTTCTGTTCGTCCGCAAGAAGGACGGATCGATGCGGTTGTGCATTGATTACCGTCAGTTAAACAAAGTTACCATCAAGAACCGCTACCCGTTGCCCCGTATTGACGATTTGTTTGACCAGCTGAGAGGAGCCACGGTCTTCTCTAAGATCGATCTCCGATCAGGGTACCATCAGATTCCCGTCAAGAAGGAGGACATTCCTAAGACGGCTTTCCGCACGAGATATGGTCATTATGAGTTCACAGTCATGCCCTTTGGATTGACCAATGCACCAGCAGTATTCATGGATCTGATGAACAGTGTGTTCCGGAAGCATCTTGATCATTTTGTTGTGGTCTTCATCGACGACATCTTGGTGTATTCAAAGACACAGGAGGAGCACGTCGAGCATCTACGTATCGTTTTGAGCATTCTTCGGGAACAACAGCTTTATGCCAAGCTGTCCAAGTGCGAGTTCTGGTTGCACGAAGTTACCTTCATCGGCCATGTCATCTCGGCCGAAGGTGTGAAGGTAGACCCGTGCAAGATAGCAGCGATCACGGAGTGGAAGACTCCGCAAAATGCACGTGAGGTGAGGAGTTTTCTCGGACTGGCGGGTTACTATCGTCGGTTCGTGAAGGACTTCTCCAAAATAGCATCGCCACTACACAAGCTGATGAGGAAGGACGTTAAATTCGTTTGGGCTGACGCAGAGTTTCGAGCAGCTGAAGGGGTGTCTGACCCAGGCACTGGTGCTGGTCCAGGCCACTCCAGGAGTGGAGTATACGGTTTTCAGCGACGCGTCCCATAACGGCTTGGGGTGTGTTCTCATGCAGGAAGGCAAGGTCGTTGCGTATGCCTCTCGGCAGCTGAAGCCGCACGAGTGTAATTATCCGACACACGACCTAGAGCTAGCAGCCATTGTACTTGCCTTGAAAATCTGGAGGCATTACCTCTACGGTGAGACGACGCGTATCTTCACCGACCATAAGAGTCTGCAGTACCTGTTGACGCAGAAGGATCTGAATCTTCGACAGAGGAGGTGGTTAGAGTTGATTAAGGACTATGACTGTCACATCGCTTACCACCCAGGTAAGGCGAATGTGGTGGCTGATGCCCTTAGTCATAAGACTCTAGCTGTGCTACACGTCCAGCCTACATTACAGCAACAGATAGCCTCAGCCCAGAGCAGCGATGATTTCTGTATCCAGACCATTGAGCTCGTCTCTCGAGGAGAGAAGCCGGATTTTGCAGTTCGGGATGGTATCTTGTACTATCGGGAGCGTATGGTTGTGCCAGCGGGGGAGGTGAGAGAACGCCTGCTACGCGAAGCACACAGCATTGTGTATACCATGCACCCGGGCAGTAACAAGATGTTCCAGAACCTTAGGAGACATTACTGGTGGCCCGCGATGAAGCGGGAGATCACTGAATTCACGTCACGGTGTTTGACTTGTCAGCAGGTCAAGGCCGAGCACTAGGTTCCTTCAGGATTGCTTCAGTAGATCACCATTCCTGAGTGGAAGTGGGATCGCATTACGATGGATTTCGTCGTGGGACGGCCATTGTCACCACGTAAGCACGACACAGTTTGGGTCATCGTTGATCGGTTGACAAAGTCAGCACATTTTCTTCCCATTCGTCGTGATTTCTCACTCCAACGATTAGCAGAGTTGTACATCCGCGAGATCATCAGGCTACATGGAGTACCGTCATCTATTATTTCGGATCGTGACCCTCGATTCACATCACAGTTTTGGAAGAGTCTACAGAGGGCCTTGGGCTCCGATCTCCACTTTAGTACGGCGTTCCACCCTCAGACAGACGGTCAGTCGGAGAGGGTGATCCAGATTCTTGACGATATGATGCGTGCGTGTGCAATCGACTTTGGGGACGGTTGGGAGCAATACCTGCCACTCATGGAGTTTGCATACAACAATAGTCACCAGGCTAGCATCGGTATGGCACCATATGAGGCTCTGTACGGTAGACCCTGTCGTACCCCTACTTGTTGGATAGAGCTTAGTGAGAGGAGGCTGGAAGGGCCTGATCTTGTTCGTGAGACCGAGGAAAAGGTCCAGGTGATCAAAGACCGACTTAAGGCGGCTTCGGATCGACAGAAGTCCTACGCCGACCTTAAGAGGCGGGATATCGAGTATGCAGTCGGAGATAGGGTTTTCTTGAAGGTGTCACCTTGGAAGAATGTCCTACGATTTGGCAAGAGGGGAAAATTGAGTTCGAGGTTTATAGGCCCGTACCCAGTCACTGAACGGGTGGGACCTGTAGCTTACAGGCTCGAGTTACCATCGGAACTGACCAAGATCCACGATGTTTTCCACGTGTGCATGCTTCGGAGGTACCGGTCGGACCCATCTCATGTGATACTTGCTGATACAGTCACACTTGATGAGAATCTTACATACGAGGAGGAGCCGGTTGAGATTTTGGCTCGCGAAGTCCGTCAGTTGAGGAACAAAACCATTCCGCTGGTCAAGGTTCTGTGGAGAAGTCACACCGTCGAGGAGGCGACGTGGGAAACCGAGGAATCCATGCGCACTCGTTATCCACATCTTTTCAGTGACCAGTGATCAGGTAAATTTCGAGGACGAAATTTTCTTAAGGGGTGGATAATTGTAACGCCCTGCAACCCGGTCTAATAGAATTGAATAATTTAATTAATTAATTACTGTTCCGGACCGGGGTTGGGGAAAATGAAAAGTTCTTAGAAAAATTATTTGATCATATCATTAAATCCATTTTGACTGTCTGATTCTAGAAACGCAAACAGATTTCAATTCGGGGCCGTTCGGGGGGGAAAGCGCGTACCGTTCAGGTCAGATTTTACATTACGGAGTAAGAATAAATTTGTAACCCCCCATGATTCACACGCCACTCACACATTCATGCTCCATTAAGTTTCACTTTATTCTCCTCATTATTATTTCAATTTAAATCCCAACTCATTCCCTTTCTCCATCCTATCTTTGTAACCCCCATCCCTTACACTCTCAACCCACTCTCTCTTCCTTCTCCTTTGTTTCGGCCACACAGCAGCAGCACCAAAGGGAATTCCGGCGGTAGACGCGGAGGAGGGAGAGAAGGAAGTGCACGTGTGAAGTAGGCCGTTTGTTTGTTCGTTGGTTTGTGAATAGCCGTTCGTTCGTCTCGTTCTATCGGACTATCAACCCCTTCATTTAGAGGTGAGTAGTTGTCCCCTCTAATTCTAGAACATTTAGTTATAATCCTTGTCGTGATACTCGTAGTAGTATCGTACGCAACCTACGTAGAACCCATGCATGTACGTAGGATAAACATCAAAATGTTCATAACGCAAACCCATAAATTCTAGCCTAGGAATCACTAGGAATATATTCATGAATGTTATGCTTTTGCTCTAAAAAGAATCTAGGTGTTAAATTAGCAAAACGGACCAAAACGGAGTAAAGGACGGCAGACTGCCTCCGGGACGGTCGACCGCCGCTATGGACGGTGGACCGTTCCCAAGGCCAAACCGACGGTCACCACCGTGACGGTCGACCGCCGGCCACGACGGAAGACCACGGTGGACCGTCGGCCATCCAGTTCCCCCAACGCAGCCACGGTCGACCGCCGTTAGGGTACGGTCGACCGTCCTTCGGGCAGTTTCCCGGGCAGTTTGTAAAACGAGCCCGTTGACCCAGAATCTGAACGTTCTTGCATGAAAAGCAAATCTTTATTTTTAAATGTTGTATAATTAATATATTCTTGGCATTTACCCAAGGTAAAAATATCAAGCATCCATCATGTTCATTCTAGACGCATGTCTTAGGTTTCACCATGTGCATACCGCTGTAGGGAGGACTTCGTGCGCCTACTACAGTGGGCCCGTCCAGGAACCCTCGGGGTCCAACGGGTTTTCATCATGTTGGGCTTGTGTACGTACATAGTAGTCAGGCTACGGCTACTACCCGGTTTTGCTAGTCCACTCGCGACATTTTCGTCGTGCCCGGCTCGTTACCGTTCGGGAACGATGACCGGAGTGCAGGGGTAATCCTGTCGAGTGAGACTAAGTCAGGGGTGTCTCAGTTAGTTCAAGTCATGCATCAAGTCATATCATAATCATGTATGTTCCAAATACCTTGTTAATTGCAACAGCTCCAACAGGTGGAAACTAAATAATTAGTAACATGTGGTTTTTCCCGTACGTTAAGTACAGGTATTAATATGTGTATAGCCATGTGGGTTATCACCTAATGTTCTCTTGTTAGATTCATTCCTCAGCTTTTTGCTGAGCGTGTAGTTGTTTTTGCTACACGCAGGTAGACATGACGGAGCGGGTGCCAACCCTGGGGAGCAGTGACGGTGGGGAGATGGGCGGCGCGCGGACAAGCTTATATTTAAATCTCATAACTAAATTAATTAATTGGGCATGAACCCACCCTTGTTGTTATTTAATTTGGACTGGACTTATTTATTTACTTCCGCATTTACTCCGTACTTTTATACACACGTTTTGGGAGTAACTCCCCGGCATTTATTTCACTAAATTAAGCACAACCGTTTTCTTATTAAATAGTCATTAATGTTTTTGTAACGGACGGTTCTCGGACTGTCCATGTAACCCTACCGGTCCGTCGGGTCGCGGGTGAACCGGGTCCACGGAAGGCGGGTGTTACAATTTGGTATCAGAGACGTTCGGTTTTGTAAAAAATAATAATTTTTGTCAATTTGGGTCAAAAGGGTTTTTTTCAAAAGTCCACAGCCGCATCTCCCATCACATCACTCCAGGGAAAGGTACACCGTTATTTTAATCACATGTATGTCATATTGTAGTTAGTCCTGATTTAAATCATTCCTTTAGAAAATGAGCCAAGCAGCTGGCAACGACGGACAAGCTGTCCCAGAGGGTGAGCCTGAGCACGTGAGCGTGCACACTGAAGCGTCAAGNCACCACCGCCGCCACCAGTGGCGGTGGTCACCATCGAGAAGCTTCGGAAGAACGGAGCTGAGGAATTTTTAGGCGATCAGATCGCCGACCCTATGATTGCCAAACGGTGGTTCGAGCGAACCATTCGAGTGCTGGGAAACCTGAGGGTTCCATAGGATCAGCGTGGCGACCTCGCAGTTGCCTTACTTCAGGATTCCGCCTACGACTGGTGGAAGCGTGTAGGAGCGGACGTTCCGGAGCCCGTGCAGTGGGCCACTTTTGACCGACTCTTTCATGAGGAGTACATCCCGGAGCACTCTGTCAGGGCGAAGCGAGAGGAGTTTTTGAAGTTCACCCAGGGTGAACTCACGCTGCCTGAGTATCGTCAGAAGTTCGACGAGGACCTGGGTAAGTCCACGCTGCTCCATTATTTGTGCTTATTTGTGTGTAACCAAGTTCAATATAAAAGCAACTTTAAGTATAATAATTTTATTTCTTTAAATGTGCAGGCTTATCGTACTGTGAAAATTGAGTTTTCAGGGAATCTGGCATGAATATGAGTGCAATTTTCTGTATCAGTAGCAAATGGTTTAGTGAGGTAATCTTTCAAATTCATACAATTATCTTCTTTAACAGAATATTATATTCAAAGTGACATGTTCAAACTTTTCTTCTTTGAATAGAAACAGATTAATTAGTTTTTAAAACAAAAGATAAATTTATCAACAATTTTAGACAAAAAAGCAGATTAATTTGTTTGGTCATCATGTTTAATTGAATCTACTTTAAATATATGGTAAAAGCATTTTAAAGGGGCCTTATTCTACATTGAGATTTTTTTATTTTTTTAAAAACTGTATTTAAACATAAGAAATGATTTTATTATGAATTAATTAGAAAATCTTAAATAGATATTCTTAGAGAATAGGTTACTATTTGTTAAAGTGGTAATGTAGTGAGACAATATGTTCTTTAAACTGAAAATGTAAGGTATTTACCTCAAAATTTTCAATAATATAATCTCTTCTTAAGTGTGTACATCAAATGTTGGAGGGCCTGTGCGTGATGAAGATGCACTCATGCTCACCACCTCTTGAGCAGAGATTCCCCTTGCCAATACCCTATACCAACTTCATTTATTTAGTGTTAGCTTTAAATTTAGTAAACAATATAGTTCAATAAGGTATACTCATAACGCTTACTGTTTTTCAAACTCTAATATAGGTGGGTAATTTTGATCCAATATGAGTTTGGAAACATCAAAAAAAGTCAAAGCGTGTTTCATCTCTACAAGCACTAATATAATTTCATTAGTATTAGATGTAACTTTTTTTTTATTTTTAAATATGTTATACCTTGAAATACTGTTCCCTTGCAAAATTGCAAAATAACTACAGGATGAAGTGGTTGTTCTTTAACGAAATCCAAACATGGCAATATTGAATATCCGTGGCATCATTGAGCACTTCTAAATTAGCAAACTTGAACACCATCTTGGGGAATGATTCATCATTGACATCCGATATAGGTCTGTCCTTAACCAATGATAATATGTAATTATAATCAATCAAGTTTTGAGTATTTTTGGATACAATGGGATTTTTTATTCCATGTATTTGTCCTTTCAGTAAAGGCTTAAAGCGTGATATCAACGCCTTTTTCCAAAAAGCATGCATGCGATTTTCCTACAGTAAAAAAATTAGAAAGTGAAAGCTATGTTTAATGATGTATTAAGAAATCGATATGAACCTGCTCGTCTTGAAAAATTGATTCGTGGGCATAGGCTGTGTTTTCTACACTCTTTCTTAACTTGAGATCATAATGACGCAGGAGGCGAAGTTTCACAAGATCCCGATGTCTAGCAGCGTGAAGCCTGTTGAGAGAGACCCAATTCGGAGACATGTTTACAGGAGAGTGACAATTATAAAGAGAAAAGAACTGGTCTGACTTTACAAATATATGGAAAGCATCGTGAAAGAAGTGGGGGGGGTCATTTGGCAGTTTGATTTTTTCATGCCCGATAAACTGAAAGTGCGTAGAGGCGTGCGCGACCCTATGTTCCCGCCGCGTAGAGAGTCGTGAAAGGGCAGTTTTGTTTTTTAAAATTATCTACGGTTTTTTAAGGATTTGGGGTGAAGATCAAGGGCTTAGATTTCTCTAATCTAAACAAAATTAAAATTGAACCATAGATAGGGTTGTGTGGCCAGGATTTGATTGTTTTTTGATGGAATGAAATTGGGCCGTAGATCTAAGGAATGTGGCGGCTTAATTGGATTGCAATTTGTGATTGTGCTTTTATATA